ACTTTTGCTTTTAGAAGGATGTCCTTTGGTTTATGTAATGCCCCTACTATATTTCAAATATGTATGATGGCAATTTTTTGTGATTTAATTGAAAAAGTGATTGAAGTATTCATGGATGACTTTTCAGTGTTTGGAACTTCATTTGACTCATGTTTGGAACATTTATCTAAAGTTCTTAAGCACTATGAAGAAACAAATTTAGTCCTTAATTGGGAAAAATGCCAATTTATGGTAGCAGGAGGAATTGTATTAAGTCTTCAAATATCAGAAAATGGTATGCAAGTAGATCCTGCTAAAATTCAAGTGATCGCTAATTTACCTTATCCAACAAATGTAAGGGAAATTCGGAGTTTTTTAGGACATGCTGGATTCTGCAAGCAAAATATTAAAGACTTTTCAAAGATTGCTACGTTTTTATGTCATTTACTGGAGAAAGATGTAATTTTCAATTTTGATGAGGAATGCCTAAAAGATTTTAATTTATTAAAATAAAAATTAATCACTACAACAATTATAGTTTCACCAAACTGGGGGAAACCTTTTGAATTAATGTGTGATGCTAGTGATTATGCTATAGGAGCTATTTTAGGATAAAGATATGATCAAATTTCCAAAGTAATTTACTATGCTAGTAAAACTCTTAATGAAACTCAAATCAATTGTACAACAATTGAAAAAGAGTTATTAGCAATAGTATATGCTTTTGATAAATTTGGATCATATTTAATTAGAACTCATTGTGTATCGCATATTGATCACTCTGCTATTAAATATCTAATGTTGAAGAAGGATGAAAATGAAAAAGAAGGATGTTAAACCTAGACTTATAAGATGGATTCTTCTTTTGCAAGAATTTGATTTTGAAATAACAGATAAAAATGGGACTGAAAATCAAATTGCTGATCATTTCTCCAGGCTTTAGTTAGAAAAACCACTCTGTTTTGAAAAAGAAATTAATGAACATTTTCTTGATGAAAATTTGTTCACTATTAATGAGTGGTGTGTTCCGTGGTATGCCGATATTGTCAACTTTATTGTTAGTGATATTATACCCTATAGAATGACATACCAACAAAAGAGGAAATTTATTTCTGAAGCTTAGAATTATTTTTTAGATAACCAATTTTTATATAAACAAGTAAAGGATCTAATTATTCAAAGATGTGTAATATTAGAAGAAACTTATGAAATTATCCAAAAATGTCATAATTCTGATTTGGAGGACATTTTTGTGTTGATAAAACAACATAGAAAATTTTACAATCTGGATTCTATTGGCCTACAATTTGTAGAGAACTTCAAGAGTTTGGTGGAGGACTTGAGATAAGTTTTTATCCTTCGTTTTAGACTACTTTTGGATTTATATTAAACTTGTTGTTGGTTTGACAATGATTTCTACATTTAAACTAAAGTGTGGTTTTGTTTTCTCCATGAATTTTGAGTAGTTTTCTTTATCTTTCCTCTTAAAATGATAAGAAATTAAGTGTTAGATGGAAGTTGTGGAGAGTATTGATCTTTAATGTTGGAAGAAGTTGTGATGATTTAAATCCATGTACTTCATTTAATTCGTTCTTGATTTGGCCTATCCAGATGTTAAAATTTGTTGTGAGAACATGTAAGAACCGGGCTGGTATTATCTCAGTCAACAATTGGAAAGAATCGTATGAGGTTGTATGAATGAGAATGCAATTCATATTATTTATTATAAATAAATAGGGAAATAATTATTGAAGGGTGTAGAGTTAGAGAGTTAGAAAGTGACAGGTTAAAGCCCCCAACTTGGTTTATT